TATACACTCTGGCATTTCTTGCGACTGCAGGTTGCTGCAAATAAGCAGCGCTTTAGCTTGTGTTCCTTCGTGACTGTTGTAGCCTCTCTTTTTCTCGATTGCTCAGAACAATTTATTGAGCACCTTGGGAGTGAAAGAGGCAGCCAAGGAGAGAAACTGTAGAAGATAGAGCGAAAGCTTAGGTGACATAGCCAGAGACAACTCAAAATATAACCAAAAAAAACTTGCAGTAGCAGAAAGGAAGAAGCAAACAAAGACGAGCAAAGCAAAGCTAAAAAAGGGATATCCGAAAAGTGACACGTCCAGATTTGATGCTGGGGAACCATATCACATCTCAGATCTTGTTATTGAGCAAAACCAAAGAAGCCCATTAAACTGTTCGATGAAAGCTTACATTTTTTATGGGAGGTGGTCGAAGCTTCAAGATCGCCATGAATGATGCCATCTGATAAAGGTGATTTTATTACATAACTCAATATCATCAAGATCTTGAAGAGACTGGGAGTAAGAGTGGGAGACAAAATTATTATCTAACTTTTAGCTAAAAAAAGGTCTTAAAGTACATAATCAATGATAATATTATGGAGCAATATTTTTGGATCATCTCTGTGTCCTCTGGGAGATTTTTATCATGCAAAACAATTTATATACTTGCAATATAACACAAACTCAATCTTTGAAAAACTTTATTTGGTTGATAAATAAGTAAGTTTTCCATATTATCATTATCATTTTTATTTTTGTTTTTGATTTTATTTTTATTTTTATTTTTATTGAGTTCTTTCCCCGTCCCATCAAGATTCCAAGTGAAGCATTCCAACGGCAGGCCCATCAAGATTCCAAGTGAAGCATTCCATCCGGCAGCAGTTGATTTTATTTTTATTTTTATTTTTATTGAGTTCTTTGCCCGTCCCATCAAGATTCCAAGTGGTGGCAGATATATAAACGCACACTCACACGTTTGATTTTTTTCAAAAAAAAAATAATTTTTTTAAAATGTTATTTTAATATATTTTTAAATAAAAAATAATATCTATGAGTTGAAACTTTCCCTTAGCCCCGCGCTACTGACCTATATGGAGCCGCATTTGTCCCTCTTTCAGCACGTGGTTCAACACGTGCCAATCACATAAGATCTTGCCTTTTTAATTTTAATTTTTATATTTTCTCTAAAAGCATGTAAAGAAAATTTATATGGTACTCGAACATTACTTAGAAATAAGAGTATAGAAAAAAAATATATGTACAAGTAGAAAAAAATTACATCTGGGTCTATAAAAATATATTTTTTTATTTTTTAAAATTAATTTTTTTATATTTCTCTCATATATTATAAATATTAATAGCTATAGGTTGAAGAACCTAAAATGGTACTCGAACATTACTTAGAAATAAGATTATAGAAAAAATATATATATACAAGTAGAAAAAAATTACATTCGGGTCTATAAAAATATAACAAAAATATTTTTTTATTTTTTTAAATTATTTTTTTTAAATTTCTCTTATATATTATAAATATTAATAGCTATAGTTGAACAACCTAACATAGAACAATCCCAAAACACTAAAAAATAATTTAAAATAAAAAAATTCAAATTTTCTTATTAAAAAGTAAGTTAAACCACAATCCTAAGTAGTCATGGAAGATTGAAAAGAAAATTTATCCGAAAACAGAGACTTTGAGTGAGTCTCCCTTCCTGGAAGAAATTTATTAATATTTACACATATGATCCAAATATTCACCAGTTACAAGATTCCACAAGGATTTAGAAGTCTCTAGAAAATTGATACAAGAAAAGCAATTATTCAGGCCGAGATTATATTTTTGAGGGGACACAATCTCATAAGTATAGATTGAGGTCACTTTCTCTGGAAAACCAAAGAGGGGAGAACATTCTCTTGACGATAAATGTGTCCAATTTTGTGATAATCGATGTGCTAATCAAGGAGTACTATCCTAAACTGCAATCTAAAATGTCATGTCCCACTGTTTGGTAGTAAGAGTGACCCATGCATGTACTAAGGCAAATCCTCAATAGAAAGGCTCTGTACTTGTAATACCATTAAATGATTTATCTTCAGAAGTGGTTTTTTTTTTAATACAAGGGGTTTGGACCGGCTTATGTACATTATAATTAATTTATAGACTTATTAAATATTTTATAAGTTTAATAAATAAGTAAGATATTGTAAAAATAATAAACATGCATGTTAACATTTGAACTCAAAATGCTTAGACAGGAAACCTATAAGGACGGCTGGGCTATAAGCCTCGATGCTTCTCATGTGTTCATTGATATAATTGGTTCGATCTCATGATTATATCTGATTTAATTTGGAATATTTTATAAATTAGAATATTAATTTATTTAATAGATGTTATTGTATCGTGTTGAATATATCAGGTTTGACTATTTTTTTTAAGGATATTACATATATTCATGAGTTGAGTTTATATTATTAATTTTTATGAATGAGTTTAATTAGAATTATCATTTAAACTCAATAAATTAACCCAAAAGTTGTTATAAATTGTAACAACAATTTAGGCTTAATACATCTATTGACCAAAATAAAAGAATTAATTAAAAAAATAAACATAACATATATCAAAAATAAAAAATAAAGAAGTTTACGGGTTGAGTCAAGTTAATAAGGTTTTAAAAATTTCAATCTGTCTTGTGACTTGTGATATTTATATTTTAAGTATTTACTCATTATCATTGTAAAATTTATGTTATTTAATTTTGATGAATTATATCCTAATACAAATATGATAAAGGGGTTAATTTTTTTAACACCGTTGCTTGAAAAGCAATCATTAACAATAAGATAAAAAACTAATTCATATGTTGATTTTACTATAGTATTTTTTTATCATTAAACCTTTTTTTTCAACTACTGTTTGTGGAATTTTCAAAATAAAAGAATTAATTAAAAAAATAAGCATAACATATACCAAAAATAAAAAATAAAAAAGTTTATGGGTTGGGTCAGGTTAATAAGGTTTTAAAAATTTCAATATGTCTCGTGACTTGTGATATTTATATTTTAAATATTTACTCATTATTATTGTAAAATTTATGTTATTTAATTTTGATGAATTATATCCTAATACAAATATCATAAAAGGGTTAATTTTTTTAACACCGTTACTTGAAAAGCAATCATTAACAATAAAACAAAAAACTAATTCACATGTTGATTTTACTATAGTATTTTTTATCATTAAACCTTTTTTTTCAACTACATCTTGCATGTTTGTGGAATTGTTTTAGTTGATAATCTCTTCTAATTGTATGTCCTCAAGGATTAAAGTTCCCATCATATTTTCAAACTTTACTAGAGGCAAATTTAATGGGTTTTTTATATAAAATTTCCTTTTATTTTAATTAAAATTAATTGAAGACATACTAAAGATATTATTTTATTAAATACAACTTAACTTTTACTTAGTCTTTAGATAAGATTATAGTGTTATTTATTTTTTTACTTTCCATGTACATGTACATGTTCATTTTTATTATAATTATATAAAAAATGGATTCCTAAACTTTTCTAGTGGCATCAAGCAAGTAATGTACTGTTTTTATATATTTTTAAATGGATTCCTAAACTTTTCTAGTGGCAACAAGCAAACTATTTTTATATTTTTTTTTAATACATTCACATTAAAATTATTAAAATATTGTTTTTATTAAAGCTTGCTTTTATGATTTTGATAAACTTTTGTTTTAACAAAATAGATATGCTAGTAAAAAATAACAAAAAGTAAAAGCACATTAACAAGATAAAGGGTTTTAAATTCAAATACTATTACTTTTAAGCATCTTCTATTTAGTCCTTCATAGTATAGATCAGTCCTTATCAATTATTCATTGTCAATTCGAATCCTATTACTTTTTAGCATCTTCAATTGGCCTTTTTCTAAAGCTAAATAAAGCCATCAAAATGGCGAAACCTTGAAAAGTTTTGTCTAAACAATCAATAATATATTAAAATGAAAAAAAGAAGAAGCAATCTACATATATAATTATGGATATATAAATCCTAAAGATTGTAGAAGAATTTTTTTATATATATATTCCACGTAGTTATGGAACTTTAGGACAACCTCCCTTTACACTAGAATTGTTGAAGGAATGTGCAAATATAATCAGAAAATTTCGTGTAATGTTTTTTAATATCTTAGAAAATAATAATAATAATAATAATAATAATAATAATAATAATAATAATAAGATATTATATAGAGAAATAAAATCACTTGATACAAATAACTTTCTAGTATACATATTATTTTTCATTGCTTAACAATGCTATCCAAAACTACTTGAAAAAAATTATTTGATGTTTGGTATGTATAAAAAAAGTATTAAAAATAAAAAAAATAATTTATGGTAAAATTAATTATTTAATAATAAAGATAGTATTGATATTTTTATCTCTAGAGAAATATAAATGGTTTTCTCTTGTTTTTAAATTTATTTTTATGATATTAAAATATTTTTTTATTGATTAAATTTTATGATTGAACCACACATAAAAATAAAAAAATATATTTTACCAATAAATAAATTTTATACATTAAACTTTCAATTTTATTCACCTTTTCATTTACCTTGAAAGTACTGTTTTTATTAAAAAAAATTATAGAAAAATAAATGTTTTTAAATAAAAATACATTAAAATAATTTTTAAAAATATTTAACTTTAATACATCCTAAAAACATTAATTTAATATATTTTTAAATAAAAAATAATTAAAAAAAAAAGTTAAACCGAAAAGAAAAACTTACCATCACAGTTTTGAAAATATGAGGGTACAAAGCCAAGTGAGCAAGCATGCAAAGCTTGGGAGAAAAACTGCTTGCGTGGCAAGAAATAATTGGCTACCAAAACCCAATAGAAATCTATCCAATACCACCAAGAGACAGACACATCATGTAAGAGAAGACGGACAACATAACGGTGGGGACAATATATCTCTCTCTCAAAAGTCCAATTGTGGCGTAGCCCAACCTTTTCCTTCTCATAATTCTATGCCTTTTTCACTGTGCATAGAAAGGAAGAGTTTTGGGTCTAGAGAGAGAGAGAAAATATATCAAAAGAACTTGCAAGAAAGAAAGAAAGAAACAGGAACTGATGAATCACACGAAACATAGTGCTTTCTTTTTTCTGTTTTTTTCACTCATAAATCCCATCTGACCAGATTTTTTTCCTCTTTTCTTTTGCATTCTTTCTTTTTAATGGCTAAAAGTGGAGTTCTTGAGACCATACCATGTACAGTGACAAAGGCAACAGAGTTAAAGAAAGAATTGGAGAAGCTAGTAAAGGCAATTCTTGATGAGGAGGATTATAGAGTGGAGGTCACTGATGAAGCCATGAGGGTTTTGAGTGTCTTGAAAGAATTGAAATTCAAGAAATCTTTGAAGATGGTAGATGATAAAATTGTCCCTGAAGAATTCAAATGTCCCATTTCAAGGGAGATAATGGGTGACCCTGTTGTCTTGGCTACTGGACAGGTAGAGACCATCAAGATTTATCCTCTCTACTTTGTTTATGCATTTGGGATTATTTTTTTCTATATTTCTTTTGGATTTGAGTGTTGTTTGAAGTTGAATCGTTCTTGGTTTGGGTGCTATTTGAATGTGCATGCAAAAAATTCATCAACTTTGGGGATTTATTTTAACTGTTTAATGCTAAATTTTGTCCTGGAATTTGAGTTGAATGTTTTTCCATGCACTAGTAATTGTAGATTTTTCAAGTTTTCTGCACATATGGATTTTGGTTCTTCTGCAAAATTGTTGAGGCTTTGGATTTGCGTGAAATTAATCTGTTGGTATTTCTGCAAGAACTGAGATTTTTCAACCACTGGGATTTGCTTTTGAAATTGTAGAATGTGTAGATTTCCCCCTTTTTCTTTGGTTTATGTGTATTTAGTTTCTATTAACAAATTTATTGGAACAAGGAATTGCAGCACCCAATGTAGAAGATTTTTTTTCTTTTGAGAAAGTTGGCCCAAAATTAAGAAAAGGTATTTTGTGGGCGAAAATCTGGTTGTTTTTTTTTATCATTTCCTTCATCCATAATTTTGAGATCAGAGCTGAGGTAACTCCAGTTTTAATTCTTTATACAGACTTGATATTTCTTGTTCAACCTTTTGCCATCATTTTCCATATTTGAGATAACTTAGTCAGATGGCCAATCTATCTTTGGGATAGTGGCCTCCCAGATTAGGACAAGGAATTGACCCCGTTCTTCAGCATTAATGAATCTGTCACCAACATAGTGAAGATGTTCTTGTGCTATGATTGATGCTAGAAGAGTTATACTGATTTGTATTTGTGATAGTGACCTTGCCACTAGAACGAGGAATGAACAGTCCATGTTCATTTTACTTGAATTCCTGTGCTATTTCAAGCGGGTTTCATTTTTATTCAATAATTTGTTGGCTATATTATAGAGTCACTCATTTATTGAAATGTTTGTTGATTTCTAGACTTATGATCTACCATTCATCCAAAGATGGCTAAATGAAGGGCACCGAACATGTCCCCAGACCCAGCAAGTCCTTTCTCATACTATCCTGACCCCTAATCGGTTGGTGCGAGAAATGATTTCACAGTGGTGCAAGGAGCGTGGAATTGAGCTACCAAAGCCCGTGAAGGATGTTGATGGTGAGGTGTGTACTGATGCGGACAGAGGCCATCTGAAGTCACTGCTTGAAAAGATGTCCTCTTCCCTTTCAGATCAAAAGGAAGCTGCAAAAGAGCTTCGGCTGCTTACTAAAAGGATGCCATCGTTCCGGGCCCTTTTCAGTGACTCAATCGATGCCATTCCAAAATTGCTCAATCCACTATCACCAGGCAGAGCTAACACTCACCCTGATCTGCAAGAAGATTTGATCACAACAGTTTTGAACCTCTCCATTCATGACAATAATAAACGGCTAGCTGCAGAAAATCCACTTGTCATCCCTCTGCTTGTTGAATCTGTAAAATCTGGAACTATTGAAACAAGAAGCAATGCTGCCGCCGCCATCTTCTCCTTGTCAGCCCTAGATTCGAACAAGCTCATTATTGGAAAATCAGGTGCTCTCAAACCTCTAATTGACCTTTTAGAAGAAGGGCATCCACTGGCAATGAAGGATGCTGCATCGGCAATATTCAACCTATGTCTTGTCCTTGAGAATAAAGGTAGGGCTGTCCGAGAAGGGGCAGTCAGGGTAATCCTTGAAAAAATCATGGATTGCATCTTTGTTGATGAGTTGTTGGCTATTCTTGCAATGCTTGCTAGCCATCAGAAAGCTGTTGAGGAAATGGGGGAGCTTGGTGCGGTTCATTGTTTGCTTGGCATTATAAGGGAGAGCAGTTCTGAGCGCAACAAAGAGAATTGTGTTGCAATTTTACACACAATCTGTCTAAACGACTACTCTAAATGGAGGGACATTAGGGAAGAGGAAAATGCCAATGGTACGCTTGCGAGACTAGCAGAGAGTGGGACTTCAAGAGCCAAGAGGAAAGCTAATAGCATCCTCGAGAGACTGAATAGAGCTGCTTCACTCACACATACTGCATGATAGAATAAACAACAGTCTGAAGATATTGCCTACTAGTCCTTGTACATGCTGTCTTCCTACACTCTCATTGTACAGACCGATAGTTTGGCCATTTGCTGTAGAAAGTTCACATATCGTCACATGTTTCCTATTTCTGTCCCAGGCTTGTTTTGGTTCATCCATTGATAACACATGAGCAAAGAACATATGGAGTTTAACCCCTAATATGATGAGTGGATATAAAATAGTTATACTGGTGAGTTTTTTACGCTGTGTCTTCATCGTCCTGCCTCCTGATTTCTTCAAGTTTGTTTTCCTGTCTTCACTTGAATGTCTATTTCATTTAAACCAAGTTAGTACCTTCGATGCCAATGGATTGTGATATTGCCTCATGTAATTCCGATAATGTTGCCATCTAAGAGGACTCAGAGAGGGCAGGGCCAAATGATTTGTAAGGGATTCACACGGACTGGTTGATTAGCGATTGCAGTTGTGGGGTCTCAATTGTTCCTTTCACCATCAACTTTGAGAGTGTCGGCACCAACACCATATAACATAACAAAACTATATTTTGTTTAGTAATCTGGTTTTGAGTGGCTGGCTGAAGTACCCACGTATTCAAGTTTAGTGCACTGTACACCGAAAAGATTTGGACGGATCTGTAGGAATCAAGAGCTAGAATAAAGGAAGATAAAGAGTAAAAAGTGATGTGGATATCCAGTATCTTCATGTTGGGCTGACTGGTTTTTCCACATTTCTGCCATCTACTAGTTTACCTTCCATTGTGGGAATTTTTTTTTCGTAGAGTTGCACTATGTATTCAACTTCTTGTTAGGTTAAATAGCCACCCCTCCTTACAGCAGCAAACAACTAGAGATGTTCTGTAAATAGGTATTGAATTTTAGTGGATAGGAACACCCTTACATCTTTTCCTATTATAATATGAATCTCTGCAAGGATTAATATTCATGCACCCTTCCATTAGGTAGTTGTAAGGTCACATTGACATTTTCTACCATTTTTGTTCTGCTTCAAGAATTCTCAGAGATCGGGGTCGGTGAAAAATCATCAAGAACATTACTAGCTGTCGCCAGCAACGCTTTGATTGTCATTAAGCCAGCTTTGACTGATAATTGAAAATTATTTCATAAAAAAGTTATTTCTTCTCGCCTGCATTGCTTGTGTCACTTGTCATGCCAACCCACACATTGTTTTAAAGATGGTTAACCTGTCTCCGTCATTAGTTTGTGTATCTCCTGACTATCTAGCACTACGGAGACTAAAATAAACTATTTCTCAACGAATTGTAAACTTGAGTTTCAACTAGCCAGATGGTATACATTTAGTGACTTTGTGCTTAGAGATAACTTGCTATGTCTTATGAATTTCCTCTAGTGGCAACTGTAACATTTACACAGGCTATCAGCATCATCTGCAGAATCGAATAATGGGGTTTGATTGGCGTTCAGCATTTGTGGGATGAGGGGCTGGTAGCTTCTGCTTCTGCTTCTAGATGCGTTTTAAAAGTGCGTGCGGTCTAATTTGCTAAAGGACATCGAAAACCCTTGAAAAAGTTTGTCAGGATGAGGAAATGCTGACCACCATTGCTAAAGGATATCCAAAACCTGCATTATTGTACTGTAGCTTGAGACGTGTCGTAAACCTGTTTGACGGATTTCATGTGCTGGAATCTTAATTTTGTTGTGACTTTAGACATGGTGGTTAGATGGCGAAGGCAAAGGGCGTGTCGTTCTCAAGTTGAATAGATGTGATGCCCAGACTGCTTTAATGCCACATTTTTGTGTTTGTTTTTGGCTTGAAGTGGTCCATCCTGTTTGACATTCCATTTTAAAAGTATTTTTTTAAAAAAATATTCTTTTAATTTTAAATAAGTATATTTTAAATATTTTCAAACCATTTTAATATAATAATTTTTTAAATAAAAAACACTTTAAAAAATAACCATAATTATATTTTTAAACACTAAAAAATATGAGAGGACAATTCTTCTGAGCTTGGCAATCGATACCTTAAAAATGGTTAAAGATAATCGATTTCTGACAATTATTCCTTGCTTAATGCATGGTTTTCTTGAAAATGGAAGACCCAAATTAGCATATCTACTCTTCTGGTCCATTTTTCCTTCCATGTGTCTGAAGAAATGGACCTATGGCTTCTGTAACATGGCCTCTGTAATTGCTGTCATATGTTTCAACTTGGCAAAACCCCTTCCACCGAGAAACAAAGACACAAGCTGTCATATAATATTATTTTTTCCTGTGCAAATTACATACTTCAGGTTTCTAAAATTGTATTAAATATTTCTATCTAAATTGGACAAAACACTGTAGACAAAACTATGAGAAGTCAATAATTCACGAACTTCTATTAAAAAATAGCCTACAAGGCTGTTTAAATATATGAAATACGTTCTCATTAATAAAATCTTAATAAAATTTATTATTCTAATATAAATAAAAACATAAAAAAATATAATTTTCAAGTCTAATGTAAACATGAAAAAAACTCAGTTGACAAGTAAAACGATTTCTTATAGAATTACATCTTTATAAATTATTAGTTAAATTTCGGTTCAATTCAGTTGTTAAAAGATAAAAAAATTATACATATTTTTATTATACCATGTGTTGAATTATCAGATTAAATAATAAAAATTATATTTTTTAAATTTTTAATCAAAAAGTTAAATTGATCACAAAAAAGTAAGTTGGTGTGAAATGAAACGAAAGTTTTTTTCTTGCAACCATTAATCTTATATATTATATAGATATAAATATCAATATAAATTGTATTTTGAAATTAACAAAAGATAGTTAAGAAAGATATTTTTAATTCTCTTAATATATTTTATTATGTTTTATGTTGTGACTTCGAATATATTTTATTTTTAATCTTTATTCCTACTATTTTTTTTATCTTTTTTATTACTTTATATTACTAAATTATTATTATTATTATATTACTCTTAATATATTAGTATTCTAATTAGTATTATAGTAATTTACTATTTAATTAGTTACTCTAAATTCAACTAGATTGCACCCAAACTAGTGACTAATGTAGCTTCAGAAATTAAAAAAAGTTGGTGCAATGGAATCAATGTAATTTGCGTTTTCTTTTACTAACCTTTGAAAAAGTTCATAGATACCAACAAGGTAAAGACCCTATCCCTTCATTGCTCGAGACCCCAGCTCCACAAAGAAGCTTTTGAACTTCGTTAAGAAGATGTATTTGTCATTTTGTCTAGTCTTATTCATGGAACTGTTGTCCACAAAATTCAGCAAAACAATCAATTTCCCCATGCACAAGTCTACACTAGAGAGAGGTTTGTCCTCTCTAATTTACGAGGGGTTTGCAACGCTGAAATGGCCCCATCGCAACCCTCGGAAAAGATTCAAACCCCACTACCAGCCCTTAATTTTCTCGTCTTTCTCGAGAGAAATGTCCTCTATGCTTACTGGTGCATGTGAGATGGCATGATTGCATGTTTCCAAGAAAAACTACCAGAGAAAGAAAGAGGACAGAATTTTATTCGATATTGTGTTCCTCCGTGGTATTTTAAAAGTGTTTTTTAATAAAAATTATTATTTTTAATATTAGCATATTTAAAAAATTAAAAAATATCAATTTTACTGTGACAAATAACAAGTCGATGACATCTGATATCGTCTAGACTCGATAGAATGCTAACCACCATTTCATCACAAAGCTAGAAACCAGTGCAAGAACTTAGCTACCTTAAGCTTGCTTAAGGAAACTTTGTCGACAATCGAACAGAAGCTCTTCTTGTTTTGTTTCTTCGGAGTTGATTTATTATCCTTTCCTTCGGAAAGCCACAACCAAACTCTTCTACCCTGAAGGCTAAAGGCATCCCTTTTTCCCCATGAAGATATTGTAAAGGCTCAAGGGTCATCTATAGGGCCTAGTCAGCCAGGAAGCTGCTTTGAGCTGGAGCCCAAATTGCTCAAGCTCGAATCCATGGAGGACAAAGTGATTTCACGATTGGTCTGTAGACTACTCATTGGAGCACTTGATGCAAGTTAAAGCACTGTGCTTCATTCGGCTATGCTGTGTTTGTAAATTTAACTTTCGGTCTAACTTTTAAAAGTGGATATGTTTGCTAAATAACTTCATTTTAGAAAAAGCAAACAAATTACTTTAGCAAAGCGGTAAAGCATAAATCTCTCTTTTCTATTTCTTTCTCCTTTTTGTGTGTATTTTTCCTTTATGCTATATAAAAAAAAAAAACTGTGTGGTTTTTCTTGTACAATGGGCTTCCAAATTGCAGTTTCTAGTAGTTGGGTTTTATTTGATAGTTTGTACCATTAATAAAAGATTCCATAGCATTGCTTCAAAACTTTGAATCGGTCTAGCAAAACTTCTTTTTTTTCTCTTTAAAATGTGTTTATTTTCGTGTTTGTGATTATGTAGAAATATGTTTTAAAAATATATTTAATTTGAAAAAAACATCATATAAAATTATTTTACTATATTTTTAAACAAAAAATACATTCAATATACCATTAAAAAAATTCAAAAAAATCTAAAACCAATCATTTCATCGTCTGAGAAGCCATATTTGGTTAAATTAATTTAAATCAGAACAAAAAATTAAGATAATTTGTAACATACACTGTAGCAAATACATCATCATAAATTCGAAATCGTTCATAGCATAGCATAGCATAGGTTACATTTTTATAACTACAACTACTACAAGTTAGGCATTCCAATTGGAACAAAAAGCCCATGGAGTCTTGTTCTTCACCTCCATATATATATATATATAAGCCCTCTCGTGACAGGAACTCCTTGTGGTCCAAATCTATGAAACACAAGCGGGTACAAGGCATGAAAACAAGCCTGGTCTTTTCTTCTGCATGCATGCAAGCAAGAGAGCACGAAAAATACAATTAGATAACTTTCAGAATCTCCCAATAATTAAGTTGATGTTTCCTTGCTATAAAATGTAAAAAAACGAAAGCAATGAGCTGTTCTGGTTCAGCCATGAAAATGTTGGAGGGTTTGAGCTTGTCGGGGCTCCAGCAAGCCCAAACTTTCTTGCAGCCACCACTACCTCACACGGGGTCTAGAAAATTTATTCAACACGACGCTCTTACTATTACCATGATGACATTTGGGACACTCGTTTTTCAAAATGATGGGGACCTTTTGGCAATAAATGGCCTTTTTTCCTGGCAAATTTCCATTAAAATTCAACATCTCAACATCAATCGGAAATCTAGGGATTGAAAAGAAGTTTTGTCCGAACCACTATTTTTTTTTTTAAACTAGCATTGTTTGGAAAAAGAGAGGCAAAATAAGACACACAAGTGTATAAGATTTTGACGAAATTTTCATAGCTTAGGTTGATATCGGGTCTCTCTCTCTATATATATATAGAAGAATCACCAATGATAAAGGCAAGCAAGCCATCCCTCCGGGGGGCTTCTCTAATTGCCTTAATCATTTTTTTTTTGTTATTTTTAAATTTATCTAGGAAAATTATTTCTAATTAAATACAAAGATTTATGAGTTGAGTTTCAGAACTCTAAGATCTTCATATTTTTTTTCTTTCTAATTTTTTATTGGAATTTGTGTCGATCTATTTAAAAATTTCTTTAAAATAGCGCTATTCCAACCACCACGACTTATTAAAATGCTGCTCTTTTCAATGATTTTGAACGATGTCAGGAAGGAGATTAGCTCTCAAACCACATGCTAGAAAATGATTAGACATGGATAGATGGTTGTAGGCTTCTAGCTTCCGACACAGCCTAATCAGAAGTCATCTGTTGCTTAGACTATTGTTTTTCCTTTTTACTGAGACTCTTTTGGCCCATCAAATTAGGAAACTATATGCTCTTAATTACCCTCCAAATTCCACATTATAGCTAGCTTCCTCCCCCATTTTTACTAATCTAGGTCCAGCACAGACTGCATTACTGCATATCCCCGTGTATTCAAGGAGGAAATCAAGCAAACTTACCAGCTTGGAAGAGCGGAGGAGCTCAGGTGAGATTTTGTAGAGATCTTCATCGACGGCCTTAGGAGGTTTAACAGGAGCATTGGCAACAATTACAGTGTCCATTTTATGAGAATGTTGTGATATCTTATTCGTATGGTACACTGTGGGTTGAGTTTGCTGCGGCTGTTTCCTTGCCGGTTCAGTCACGTCACAGACTTTTCCCTGCTTTCTCTGCTCCTTAACATGCGTGCCTCGCTTTTCCCTCATTCTTGTCTACAAATTCAACACCGTCATCATTACTCTCATCATCATTATTGATCTTTACGCTATGTAGCATCTTTATATTCATCATCAACCTCCGACGACTCTAATTTTCCCGGCAACAAATTCATTTTACTTATCCTTAAAATACTCTTAATATCTATCTGGCCATACCATCATATATCAAATGATATAAAAAATAATAATTAATTTTTTTTCAAAAAAAGGACATTTGAAAAATGGCCAAGATCAAGGACAAACCTTTACAGGGGGAGGAGGATTACAAGAAGGTTTGTTGATATCAGAAGCATATAGATCACCGCGCATGTCCTGATGACCACATTCTCCAGAGGAATTATGAGTGGTACTGAATCGGATCAATCCTGCCTGTCTTGCAGATTCAAAATACTGTGTGATTGGCAGCTCATTTGCTTGGTCCCAGTCTCCAAATGCTGGTATCTGTCCACTTCTCCTCCACTCCTATCAGCACACAGAACACCACAAAAAATTAAGGAGATAAAATATTTGTTTAGATCTTGAACTTCAACGGGAAGCTAAGAATTAAAAAAAAAAAGACGTCCCATATGAAGAAATTTCAATATTACTATAGCATTAGTATATATTTTATCATGAAATGGAAAAGGAGGGAGAGAAAGGGAGCAGAAAACAGTAGAAAGAAGCCAATTCTGAGAGAGAGAGAGAGAGTAAGAAGCCAAGAAATGGCAGGAGAGCTTACATCCATTCTGGTTGATTTTGGCAGTATAACGCAAGAAGCCAAAGAAAAAGAGCGAAACAAAAGGTCTATAAAGGGTAGAGAAAAAGATAAGAGCTTGAAAAGGGAGAACAAACGGGTTAAAAACAAGGGAGTTTGGGGATAATCCTCTCTCCAGAAAACACCCCAAAGACATGAAAGTTATAGATTCTATCTCAGAATCGGCAAAGAAAGATACATTTCATATCTTTATAGCACGCAGTACTAGAACAGAAAGGAAAGGGGTTTGGCTTTTGCTGGTCTTGTACTCGTTTTGTGTTGCCACTTGCTAGTTTCTCTTCTTTCTTTCTTTCTTTTTTGTTCCCAGCTTTTACAGATTACAGCATAGTAGAGAAACCTCTTTGACCTCTAAATCCTTTATTGCTCTATCTTTTCTTTCTTCGACCTAGATTCACGCCACAGACAGGGAACTGGGACCCGCATATTTTAGGGTTTTTCCAACCTCGATTTGGGTGCTGGGAACTGTTACAAAAAGTGAGTCTCTGACTGTGGAGTATGGCCAAACTAAAAGGTAATTCTTTTTAATTAGGCACTGTTCAAGATTGAGAAATACGTAAGAGTGCGGTAGCGACATGTCCAGACTAGTGAATGCTGCCAAGAGAGTTTGAAAGGGTCGAAGAGGAGTAAAAGAAGGTGCTGTCTCCACTTGCCCATGGTTAAGGAGGAGTCCTTTACCTCAACTTTGAAGAGAAAAGATGGGTTGGTGTTACTCAACTTCTTTAAGAATGTGTCCCGTTTGATTCTTGTATTCAAATTCAAGGCAGAATTGCGTTGCAAGTTAATCAACTTTTGTTAAGATTTTTGACTTGAAGATCATTGAAAGCTTCTAAAGAGCAGTTCCTAGACAGGGGTCAGCGTTACTTCGCAGGCTGGTTTGATTTTTCTTTTTTTAACATACAAATAAAAAAGTTACTCAAGTGTTTCTTAAAAAAATATCTGAGATTTGTGTTATTGTTTTGGTTGGATTTAATAAATTTAAATATTATAAATATAAATAAAATGATAATTGATAAACTGATAAAACAAATTATCAATGTAAATAAATAATGAAGCTCGTTGAAAATAAACTAAATAATATTATAAAATTTAATTATTAAATAAAAAACTCATAAAACACTAATTAAAAATAATAAATAATTGAATTAATACATGTTAATCAATCAATCTCATGACTCTGAATATAAAATTAAAATAATTATGAAAAAATGAAAAAAAAAAAGCAGATGAACTCTTTATGGCTTCCATTTTTTTAATGTAGTTTAATTAAGTTAGACATTTATTGTGTTCATTAAATTAGTTAGTGAAATAATGTAGATTAAATGCTAGTCTCATTTAATTTATTTTTTTAAAAAAAATTATGTATCAAATATGAGTAAAGGAGGTAATATATTTTAAGAATAAATCTTCACAATCTCTACTCTATTATGAAATATATCCTAAGAATAAATAAAATGTACTATTGTCACCATTATACTCTCTTTCATGAATCTCATCATAAGATTTAACACAAAAAAGCCTCAAATGTGTATACGAGGGGAAGGGAGGGCAGCAAAAATTGGCATAAGGAGAAATAAAAACCATAAGGTTACTAAAAGGTTTAAAAGTTGTTTGAGAACAAAGATTTGAATAAAGCATGGATGGTTCATCAAAAACTTTTACGGTGATAGTCAATCCATTAATCATCGATTATAATAATGTATTTGAAAATATAGTTATAGTTAGTTTTTTAAAGTATTTTTTATTTTAAAAAATATTAAAATAATTATTTTTAATATTAATATATTTTAATTTGAAAGCATAAAAAAATTAATTTAAAAAAACATTTTTAAAAGGTGAAAATTAGACATGATATTGCTTGGGTGGTTTTGAGGTTCAAGAAAGAGAAATTTTTTTTAATAATATTATTAAATTTAAACTTGAAAAATCTAATATAATTATTTTTTAATTTGTATTTTAAATTAAATTATAAAAGAGTTACTTGATATGACCTTATGGATGGGATACATTTAAATAAAAAATTCAAATTCATCCTAATCAATTTATTAAAATCAATTTATTAAATTAAATTATTTTTTTATTTTATTATATATTGAAAAAATTAGTTTTTAATTAATTTAATATTAAATAATAAAATTTAATAAAATTAAAAACAATAATCATCAAGGAAACAACCTCTACCTATATATATTTGAATATCAGTGTCAAAACTCCCCCGAGAAATCAATTCCTAATTTTGGAATCTAAAATTAAATAAATAAATATTGCCAGTCAAATGCAGCCTATAGTCTAGCGTGTCCCGGTCAAAATAATAATTATAATAATAATATAACTTATGTTGATCATAAAAATCTATATTCCAGGTAAATAGCAGACAGAGAATTCAGACTTGTGTCTCGGGGGTTGTATTGAAATAAATAGCGTTTATTTTTTGAAATATATTAAATTAATATTATTTTTTATTTTTAAAATTTATTTTTGATATTATTACATCAAAATTGTTCAAAAATATTAAAATTATTAATTTAAAATATTTTTAAATAAAATAAATTAATCCACATCTCAAAACTGCGAATAAATGGATCTGGTGTCTCAGTTTTGGTTAAACTAACGAGGCCTGAAGGCATATGCCTTGTGGAGTGATATGTGCCGATAAAAAATTTGACTTCCCATTATTCACACTTCGGTGCTCTATGTAAATGACAAAAAGCCACCAAACCAGCCCTTTCGTTCTCCAAGAACATACCTAAAAACTTTGACAACTGAGGTCAGGAAGTCAAAGCCATCATTTATATATATATATATATATATATGCTGAGCTGCCTAATTCATCTTCTGTTCCCTCTACACGACGGCACAAGTTCTTATGGACCGACCATGGAATGCCAACTGCCAAGTTGTGCCCGCACGAAGATGGTGGTCCTAATAAGAGTTATGGCCATACGCTAAGAATGTCATCTCTTGTTCAACTCACGGTTAAACCCGCCTCCACTCGTGAGTTAACCAAGTAATTTGAGTCAGTTTTTACATTGTATTGCCTCGGTTGAATTCAAGTAATTTAATGGATTGACCCGTGACTATGTTGATCTGATGATATTATTTCAAGTTCTGAATAAATTAAAATTGGAGATTTTTTCAAGAAAATAAAACAACTCATTTTGATAAAATTGATTTGAATTTATTTGACTATGTTATTTCATTAGTGTTTAAAAGTGTAGTATCTTTTATTTTTATATGTGTTTTAAAAATATATTTTACTTGAAAAATAATAAAATTAATGTTTTTTAATATTTTTATGGTTTTAATATACTAATATAAAAAATAATTTTGAAATATTTGAAGTAAAAACTACTTTTAAAAATTATTATACACCACAATATCAAATATATTTAGGAGACATTTGTGGTCAAAACATCATTTTCTTAAAATTTAAAATTATTTTTACTTAAAATTATAATATTTGAGCCTGTCTTTTCATGAGGTTTCTCCTATTTCTTTCTATTATAATCCCTTTTAATTTCATTTCAATCAATAAAGGACCGAACAATTTTAAGTGGAAAATATGTATGTTTGAATTGGACATCTAAAACGTATTTTGAACTAATAATGAAATAAATAGCACATTTTATTACATAGTGTGACTAAAAATACAACATTTTAAGATGTGGTTAATGAAAAACATGGTATTTTAAATAAATTATTAATAAGCTAACACGAATTACAATAATTGAAGTTTTAATGTATCTCCAAAAAATTTTCTTTATTTTTGTCTTTCTCCTTATTAAAATTGTTCTAATTAAAATTGTTCTATAATCTTTAAATAGAAAGTGCAACATACTACAATTATTATTGATATATTTTTTTAATGTTATTAAATTTATTTTTTGTCAAAATCTTTTTAATAATATTATAATAGAGTTTCGGTGTATCTCCCATCTTTATTTTTCTTCCTCATCTTTGCTCATCCTAATTTGTTCCAACTTATTTAATTTCTATGAGCATTTTGTTATTCTTATAAGCAACTTAGCATTTTACAATTCTCATCAGAACATTACTAAATTGTGTTACTTTACTTATATTTTTTAAATTATGTTTTCTTGCTCGTTGCTATTTCTTTTTTTCTTTGAAATAATCTTTGTAAATATAAATGAAATTTTGATTTTGATCATGCCACTACCTTTTTTTTATTTTTTTTAAGTAATAATAAAAAACATGGTTGAAATCAATTTTTTTTAATTTTTTTCATGTTTTTAGATATTTTAATATACTAATTTTAAAATATAAAAAATATTATTTAAATATATTTATAAATAAAAAATTTTAAACCACAAATAACTATTGCATTTACAAGCAACCTTAATGTCAGCATTCATGTAAGAATGTGTTGGTTGGTATATTTATTGTAGCTGTGGAAAACCGGAAAGGATATCATGAGGGCACAGAAATAGGAGTTCAGGGAAATGATGAAGGGTGGGGTCGGAGGAGGGCCATTGAAATTTAATGCTATCGCTCGTCCATTATGCTTCCAATAAAGATAGCCGTACATGGAGATCATGAGCTTTGTACGAAAAAAATGCTAGCCTAGAACACTGTGTTCGTTATGATTTCATCTTTGTTGGAGTGTAAAATTGATCATGTAAGGGCATTCTTGAAGAGAAAGATGTTATTTTGATGAGTAAAATTAATAATATAAATATATATATTTTTTATATTTATATTCACTTTAATAATAAAAGTATTTGGAAGAGTCTTTAGTATTTTAATATATTTAATATTAATAAAATTATTCATTAATTTTAACTAACTAATACAAGTCCAATCAAATTTTATTTTTATAAAAAAAATATTAAACATATTTTTAGCATTTTTATCCAATACGTAGAAATGACTTCTTATTTTGAATAAAGCTGAGTTATAAAAATAAGAGTTGAAAATAAATAAAATCATCTTTTTTTTTAGTTTTTCATTTATTACAGTTTTTTTTAAAGTACTCGGTGAGATATTTGTGTAAGTCGGTGTTAAATTTGGCATGATAAAATTTAATTAAATATGAGTTTGTGCTATGTAATAATGAATATTTTTATTTTAAAAAACAATGGTTAAACACGTTTTAAATAAATAAATAAAGCAAATGACTCAAGTTATATCTCTAGTCAAGTTTAATGAGTTGTTTTTATTTCAATTAGATGATAAAAAAAATAACAAAAATAATGAATGTATAAAATAAAAAAGATCATAATAATTAGAAAAAACCTCTGAAAATATATATCTGGATTTAAAAACTAAAAAATAAAATTAATACCAACTTAAAGTAACATGATAGATAAATAAGTTTAATAATAAGAAATGAGACAACTCGTGCTAACTTGCAAAACATATTGCCCAAATTATTGGATTGAGTTAGCTCAATAGAAAGAGATTTTAAAAAATCACAAAGCTTTTTTATTTTAAAAAAAATTGAATGATCAAATTAAAAAAACAATAAGATAAAAAGGATGCCAA